GACATGGGTGCACTTACCTATATCTTTATACCTATACCTATACCTATACCGCTTATCTATATACCCACATCCCAAATGGCACTCTCCCACAGTCTCCTGCCTCTCCCCACTGGAGCCCATATACTCTGTAATCCCTGTTACTGTCCACTGTGTTGTTGGCACCCCCAGCTGTTCTCCAGTGCTTGTCCATCCGCTGAATCTAGTCAGCCTATCTAGAGTTCCTTGTTTTAGGAAAGATTTCCTCCATGCTTCCAAATGAAACCAGCCACGGTCAAGCAGGACCTTCTTTGATTTATTTTCACATAGATGGAACTGGTAAAAGAAAGGAGCCAGGGTTCCTCCCAAGCCCATGTGACCCCTGAGGAACAGACCCTCAAATGACCTTAAGAGTAAAAATAAGTTGGTTTATTTGGTACAACTGTATGGTCTTAAACACCCAAAAGGAAAGTATAACCAAAGATTAAAGGGATCAATATAATCCTTTAAGAGTCCATGTGTATAGCTAAAAGCTACATAATAAGAAACAATGCCAGAGGAGATACCTTCCTTTGAGTTTTTGGCCACAGTGGCCCAAGAGACTCCCAGATAGTAAGCCAGCATAGAACTGGGAAAATGAACAGCAGACCCCAATCTTATCTAAAGGAATATTGGCAGCTGATTGCTGCTATTTTTATTTTTTTAAAGACTTATTTTTAATTGTGTGTGTTGATGTGTGCACATGAATGCACATGCATGTAGAGGTCAGAAGAAAACATCAGATTCCCTGGAGCTGGAGTTACAGACAGTTCCAGTTGTAAACCACCCAACATGGTTGCTGGGAACCATACTCAGAGCCTTTGCAAGAGTAGTATATGCTCTAAAGCACCAGGCCATCTCTCCAGCCCTTTTATTTTTTATTTTTTAAAAACCCACAATTGTATTTATTTATTGCAGTACTACAGATGAGCCCAGGGTTTTTTGGGTGCTAGGCAAGGAGTCTACTACACTATATTCCCAGCAGAATTTTTTTGTTTTTGTTTTTAATTAACACATAATTAATTGTATATACTTATGGCTATAGTGTGGTATTTCAGCACACATATAATGTGGAATGATTATATCAGGATAGTTGGCATATCTCTCCTCTCAGATAGTAATCATTTCTTTGTGTTGGCAATATTCAAAACCCTATTAGCTATTTTGAAGCATTCAATTAATTATTGTCAGCCACAGTTATCTTGGCACACTACAGAACATTAGAGCTTATTTCTCATGTCCATCTGTAACCCTGGACCCATTAATTATCTTCTCCCCACCTCTCTCTTCTATATAGCCCTCCCACACTTTGGTGATCACTATTCAGTTTTCTATTTCTTTGAGTTCAGTATTTTGGCATTGATGTGTAAGTGAAAACATTGTAATTTTGCCTTTCTGTGCCTAATTTATTTCATTCACCATTATGTCCTCCAGTTTGATCTACGTTTCTTCAAAAAAGCAGGATTTTATTCTTCTTTACACCCTAAAGTGCTGGAGATAAACACAGAGTGTTATGTGTGGTAGGCAAATACTCTACTACCGAGCCACATCCCCAGCCCTTCAATCTTTTCATGGCTGAGTAATATTCCACTGAATATGTATACCATATTTTCTATGTCCATTCACAATGGTCAATTCCAGATCTTGGCTACTGTGAATATGTTGCAATTAACATGAAAGTACATAAGTCTCTTCAACACGCTGATTTCAGTTCCTTTGGCTGTGTACCCAGAAGTGGCCAGATCGCATGAGAGTTCTATTTATAGTTTTTACAGGTATTTTTTGAGGATCCTCCATAGTATATTCCATAGTGGCTGGACTAATTTACATACATTCATAATAGTATATAAGTTCCCCATCTCCAAGTCCTTACCAACAAAAATATCGTGTGTGTGTGTGTGTGTGTGTGCGTGTGTGTGCACGTACATGCGCATGTATGGAGAGCAGAGAATTTTGTGGGTTCAGTTTCTCTTTCTTGTTTCTTTTTACAAATA